GTATCTGAGGCCAGGACATTGTCCTCAGGCCCCCTGCTGCATCTGGACTCCTCTTCATCTCTATTTTAACAACATTCACATGATTTTGCCTTCAGTACAAATGCCTGGGTAGTTGGTTTAACCTCTTCCACAGACATCAAACAGAAACTCCCACCTGAAATCCAGACTTTCCAGCCAGATAGATCCAAGTGACCCCAGGAGCTGTTCATAAAGCTTTTCACCAGTAGTAACAACTATTTGTTGAACAGTTGTTGTGTTCTAAGGAAAGTAATAATCACTATTTGTATATTTTCTAATTTTCACATCAACCCTGTAAATCATATATTATCCCTTCTGTTGTGAGGAGAGAAAAACCAGAGTTGCTTAATCAAGTTTTACAAACAGGTACAATCAGAGCTCCAACATATTTTATATACTAGTTCTTTCATTTTAATGTGGGCTGAAGAATCTTAACTTTACCACTTACTAGCTGTGTGGCCTTGGCAAGTCATTAATTCTTTTTTATCTTGTTTCCACATATGGAAAATGAGGAATTAACAATGGATGTCTTTAGGGCAGATGAAAAGGGAGCCTCCTGGGGCCCAGGGTCCGGGCTGCTTTCCTGGCTATCTTCAATTTCTTTCCTGTTCCTTCTGGGTATTTCAACTTCATTTTCCCCTTAATTTTTTTCACATTTTCTTCTTATTATTATGGGTAAAAATACTCAGCTGACCTAAATTTTACCAAGAGACATTTACTGAGTCTCCACTAAGAATAGGAACTCTGCTGGATGTTAAACACAATCAGTGGCCAAATTCAATTTCTAGGGACCCAACTGTAATCTTTTTCTTTAGCTAAAGTTTGCTGAGAGTTTACTATGGCTGAACTGTTCTAAATGCTTTACACATATAACTCATTTAATCCTCATAATAACACTATGGAGGGGTGACTATTTTAAGTCCCATCACACAGTTGAGGAAACTGAGGCACAGAGAGGCTGAGTTACTTGCTAAATATAACATAACATAAATGACAGAGCTGGATCAAATCCAGCCAAGTTGGCTTCAAAGCTCACACTCCTAACTTTGAGCTTCTGAGGTCCCCAATCTTGTGTTTGCAGGTTAACATGGAAAGGTCACACTGAAGGAGGGCACAAAAAAATCTTATAAAACAGGCACTCAAATAATTCCACCTATGCACACAAAATCTGTGTGAGGATACAAAGATGTATAAGAACAAGTTTCCACCCCCAGAAAAACTATATTGTAAGTCTAGCAAAGAGCCTAAGTATGTGATGACTTATAAAGCAGGGAAGGTGAGGTAAAGGCTAAAGTGTTGATAGAAAGTTCTATGAACTTCACAGAGAGATCAGTTCTGGTTTAGTTACTGAGAAACCCTTTATAATAGTTTTTCATTACCACCTGTGCCTTGAAAGAAGGGTCAGATTTTAGTAGATGGAGAGGACATAAAGACAAGAATGTTTCTTGCAGAGGCAAAGACAGGAACTTTGGAATGAAGGTGAGACAAGATGAGGCATTTCTCCCACAGTCAGCAGAGCCCCCTTTTGGTAGGACTTCCAACATACATGGGTACCAATGGGATACCAGGCTTTAAAAAACCCATGAGTGAGGAGGGATTCCTGGTCCAAACTACAGCCCAGACCTGTGAGTGCAAACTTCCCATTTTTTTGGCCACAGAGTAGAGACAGAGTGAGTGAGCATCTTCAGCATGGCAAGGCTCAGTGCAGAGGGAGTGGAAGCCACCTGGGCTCTCTCAGCAGGACGTGAAGCTTGTGAGGATCCAGGTGCTGTCAGCAGGAGTGAAGAGCCAGAAAGAAAAGAAGCAAAGAAACGAGTTGTCTTACAGAAGCAGTGATAAGGGCAAATACAAGACAGAGAAACTGATGAAGTCTGAAGGTGATGATTTCAAGTGGAGTGGCTCAAACATTGATACAAGAAAAGATGATTTGAGGGTCATTTCTGGGCATCCCACTCCTAGTCTGCTTTGACATCGATGTCATTACAAAGGGAATGTGTTAACATGACAAAGAGTGGATGTGAAGAGAGTGAAGACCACAGGCAGAACCCTGAGGACTGGCCACCTTCATTGGGCAGAAGGGTGAAAGGGGCAGCCCTAGGCAGGAGGAGAAGAGGTGCGGCAGGACAGATGTTTCAGAAGACTTGAGAGGAAGAGACTTGGGAATAGTGAGGACTCAAGAGTGCAAACAACACAAAGGTGTCTAGAAAGATGACTAAAAACAAGTTATTGACTTCAGTATTTAGGAAACAATCAAGTTTTCTTTAAGGGGCTGTTCTAGTAAAACAAGCCTGGGCTGGCAAACTCTGGTGAGGGTGGTGGGCTCAAGGGAAGGCCAAGGAGAGGGAACTAGTATGTCATCCACATGGAGACAGAGGGAGTGGCTCATCTTGTGCAGGAGGTGCAGACAAGATGTGGGTAGCTTAAAGTATGCAAAAAAGTTTCAAAGTGGCATTTGGAAAAGGGCAGAGTTTGACAAGGATTGTCCCAAAAGTCAGGATGATGTGCTCTGAGGGCTAGATGTAAAGTTTGAGGGATAGGAAAGGCCAAATGGGTGTCTCTATCCATCCTTTTGCAGGGTATCCCACCCATGCTCAATGCTCTACTCAATTTAGTTGTTGCCATGGTTCCTTCCTATATGGAAACATCCAACACTTCTTTATGTAGGATTGGCCCAAGTATCACAGACATCATTGAGTTTTCATGTGGACTCAGCTACTAAAGCTGTTCTCAGACTTCTAATCTTCTTTTTTATCTTTTTCTTTCAATAATCAGTAATGGGAATAAGGAGACCAGAACAGGATGTTCTACCGAAGACCATCATGGTGAAACTAGAACCCATCCAAGAAGTGAACCTCCATGATGTGAGGCAAGACCAGATGCTTGAATGTCCTACAGCCTCTTTTAGGGCTGGCAGTCTCAGGAGGACCCCATCCTTTGTTTAATATTTTTCTTGACAATCTTGAAATTCTTAGTTGATTTGGAACCAGCGTGTCCTGTTCCCTTTCTTGTCTCATGCACCCAATGCCCCTCCTTTCTGACATGTTTCAGCAGTGTCCCAGTGGGTTCCAGACCACGTTTGCAGGTCTGAGGGCTGCCTGCACATGAGGTAGCCTCCGGGAAACAAGCTGTGCACAGGAGTCATGACACCTGACTCAGCCCAGGCAGCCAGTCAGTGTCAGGCCAGCACCTGCTCTGGTCTTACTGGGAACAGCCTGACTCTCTGATTCACTGCTCTTCCCTTCCTCTTCCCAAAGAAGCAGTCTCCTTGTTCTGGGGAGCTTCAAACCTGTTCTTCCAGTATCTGTGAGAGAGCTGGATATCTTTTCCAGGACCTTGCAGAGCTCAGAGGAATGTTGTGAAGCTCTGTGGGTCCCAGCTCTCTGCTCCAGGCTTCGGGGAGTGCAGGAAGGGACAGACTATCTACCTCCTTTCACTTGACATTGTCCATGACCCACCCCTCACTGTAGGTCAGTGCAGTCCAGCCAACAAATGCTTGTCCTTCTCTCATGAGGTTGCCACCACAGACTTTCTGGCTTGAAAGTCTGTGCTCTGCAGGACCAGGGAGGCAAGACATTGGGTGGGTCAAGGAATAGATGTGGTCTCCTGCAGTTGAGTCGAATGCCCCAGGGGTAAGCTTAGGTCGTCCTAACTCTCTTAACTCTTTTCAGCCCAAGTTTGGAGATCTCCAACTTCTTTAGCGTTGTTTAGAGTTCAACAGCGCCGCCTCCTGGTGCTTTGTGGTGGGTGACCATAGCAAAGAGAGATGGCACAGGGTGTTATAAAAAATTACAAGTTTACCACTCTCTGCTACTCAGCTATGTTTTGGACCCACCCTTCTGCATTCTTGTAAAGTGAGTAAGTAGAAAGGGTGTTGAAAATGACAAGATTCCCATCTCCTTCTCCCAGCACTCCCCACCCTGCCAGTCCACAAGGGCCGCCCCTTTTCAGTGCCCTTTGCTGCTCAAGTAACATTTATGAGCACCTCTGTTTCGTTCTGATCTTTAAGCCTAAAGGAAAAAAAAAAAATCCTTAACAGACCCGATTGGGATCCACTTGGAGCCCACAGCGCCTGCCAGCGAGGGCTCCCGTGCGCCCCTCTGGGGTTCTAGATGGACTATCCCTCTGTGAGCCTAGGCAAAAACAGACTAGACTGGCTAATGTGCTCCCAAACCCCTTCGCACCTACAGGGCTCGGCAGGAATTTGTCTACCGACAAATTCTGCAAGGTGACCTCAAGGTCCTGACATTATCCGCGAGACGTTTCCTGGCCTTGGCTACTCATGCTTAGGGACTCGTGTGTCTCTAGTGTTCCCTGGGGATCGCGGACGTTAGGGTGTCTAATTCTCCCTCCTTTACCCATTGTCTCCCTGGCCACACTCTCTGTCTTCTGGGACCTAGCACACTCTTGTTTTCAGAGCTAGGGTGGGGCTCAGCTCTCTCTCCTTGGGATCCGGTCTTTGGGGAAGTCCACCTGCTAAAGAGCCCCTTTCAAAGTCCTCCTCTTGGCAGACACCTTCTCCCAGAGACCCTCAGGTCCTGGGCACTATTTCCTCACAACTTCAGTCAAAACCCTCCTCCCTCCCTCACTTCTTTCCAGAATTCTGCAATACAAGCTGTCCTTAAAATTGGTGATAACAGCATATTTATGAAGAAAAACAAAGAAGGGCAAGAGATTAAGATGGGCTGCGAATGTGGGAGCCCCAATGCATGGGGTGGAAGTGCCGCCTTGCTGAGAGAGGTGGTGTCTCTCCCCACAGCCCAGCCTGGGGACCGCCCAGTGCTCTGGCTGCATTTACTCAACTCCGCGTGGAGATCCCAGGCTTGAGGGCGGGCACAAGGAGTCCAGAGAACCCAGTAATCCGAGAATGCAGCATCAGCCCTTCCCACCCAGCACTTCCTTCCTTTCCCCGAACGTCCAGGGAGGGAGGGTTGCGCTGTTATAAAGTCTGCCTCAGCCCACCGGCTTATCAAAGGCTGCTTCATCTGGGCTGTGTTCAGCGGCAGGAAGTGTCTGCTCTGGGACAGACGCGAACGCCTGTCGCCGCCAGCCCACTGAACCTTTCAGAACCAGCCGGACTCGGACCGGGTCTTGGCGTCTGTGCTCTCCCCGGCGCCTGCACGCGGCGTGCGGGGACAGCATGTTGCAGGTCTTACTCCTCAGCGTGTTGGGTCCTGCTGCTCTGGGACTCCTGGAGTTCCCAGAGCCACAGCTCCAGGGCAGCCAGTGTGTCGAACAAGACTGCTACGGGCTTTTCCGGGGCCCTGCGACTTTCCGATTCGCGAGCCAGGCCTGCCAGGGCCTGCGGGGCCACCTGATGACCGTGCGCTCTTCAGTGGCAGCTGATGTCATCTCCCTGCTACTGAGCGGTGACAGCTCTCGCCTCTGGATTGGCCTGAAGCTCCCGCCCGGCTGCAGGGATTCGGGACAACTAGGTCCCTTGCGCGGCTTCCAGTGGGTTACTGGCGACAACAACACCAGCTACAACAGGTGGGCGCGGCTCCCCCAACCGTCTCTCTGCGGTCCCTTGTGCGTCGCAGTCTCGGCTGCTAGGTCTGCGTCTGGCGAGCAGGTTTGGGAGGAGGAGCTGTGCACGGTGGAGGCTGATGGCTTCCTCTGCGAGTTCCACTTCACAGCATCCTGCAGGCCTTTAACTGTGGAGCCTGGTGCCACGGCGGCCACCAGCGTCTCGATCACCTATAGAACCCCGTTCGGTGGCCGAGGCGCGGACTTTCAGGCGCTGCCAGAAGGTAGCTCCGCCGTGGTGGCGCCCTTTGGAGTGGAGCTGGTGTGTGAGAAGAGGCCAGGAGAGGCCGAGGCACGCTGGGGCCGAGAGGAGCCGGGCGCTTGGGACTGCGGTGTGGAGAACGGTGGCTGCCAGCATGCGTGCAACCAGAGCGCCGGGGCGTCACTCTGCCTTTGCCCCGCGGACACGGCCCCTCAGGCAGACCTGCGCTCTTGCGCCGCGCCTGAGGAGCACTCCTGCGACAAGCTCTGCGAGCACTTTTGCGTCCGCAACCCGGATGTGCCCGGCTCCTACTCCTGCATGTGTGCAACTGGCTACAAGCTGGCTGCTAATCAGCACGGGTGTGAAGACGTAGACGACTGTATGCAAGTGCCCAGTCCGTGCCAGCAGCTCTGTGTCAACAAGCAGGGCGGCTTCGAGTGCCATTGTCACCGTGGCTACGACATGGTGAACGGCGAGTGCGTGGAGTCAGTGGACCCATGCGTCGGGAGTAACTGCGAGTACCAGTGCCAGCCCTTGGGCAAAACTGACTACCGCTGCGTCTGCGCCGAGGGCTTTGTGCCCAATCCCCAAGCACCACACAAGTGCCAGATGTTCTGCAACCAGACTTCATGCTCAGCAGACTGCGATCCTAACAACCCGGACACCTGCCAGTGCCCTGAGGGCTACATTTTGGATGAGGGGTTCCTGTGCACCGACATCGACGAGTGCGACAATGGCAACTGCCTCGGTGCAGATTCGTGCAGAAATCTCCCCGGCTCCTACGAGTGCATCTGCGGGTCTGACTCGGCCCAAGCTGGCACCGACTGTGATCTCACCACGGTGAGCAACGGTGTCGTAGAGGGCGGCTCTGGGGAGGCCCCAGTGAGCCCAACTCCTGGCGCCACCTCAAGCTCGTCTCCTGCAGGGTCTGTGCATTCGGGCGTGCTCATTGGCGTCTCCATCTTGAGCTTGTGTTTGGTGGTGGAGCTTTTGGCACTCCTCTGCCACCTGCGTAAGAAGCAAGACGCCATACAAGCCAAGCTGGAGTACAAGTGTGAGGTTCCTGCCAAGGAGGTGGTGCTGCAGCATGTGAGAACAGAGCAGACGCCTCAAATACTCTGAGAGACCTCACTTCCTGGCCTCAGGTGTTCGCTTGGCATCTTCTTCTCTCCTGGCCCTCATTCCCCCACCTCCTCCCCTAGCCTTACTCCTTGGCTACCCCAAAGCATTTTAACTGGCATCAAAAAGTGGAAGAAACCCCCTATGCCTTCTTTCCATGATTGTAGGAATAGCTCGTTAAAGGGTTACTTTCATGGTATCACCAGACTAAAGGGCAGAGATGGCAGTTTTACAATGAAGATGCAGATTGCATAATGTCCCATGCCCTCTGTGGGGCAGGAGGAGTGAGCATTATTGGTCAGTGGCCTTTGGGGAGATTGTGATCTGATGGACTAGTAAGTGTAATTGTGTCATGGATGATAACTAAGATATTTATTTTTTAAGTATTTAAGACTTTTTTCTTTTTCGTTTTTTCCTACTTATACATCTTCATACTCACTTTGAGTTCCTTCCTTCTGCTTTCTCACTTTCCTATCTATATATTTATATACTCCTACTTATCATGTGGTAACTTTCTTGGTGATTTATTTTTTCAGCCTTTTGCACTTATAAAGCCAAGCCTGATTTTCCCCTCTCATTCCTACCAATTTTCCCTTCCCAGGAACTTGACCCACCCGACTGAGTCATCCTACCTGTATCTGACACTACTTTTACTCTTAGCTGTCTGCGTTGGCAGAACTCTTATGTGACACAGGGAAAAAAAAAAAAAAAAAAACCACTAAAAACAAGAATGGTTGGGCATTTGTTCTTTCTCTAGTTTTGCTCAGTTATCCTGAAGTTTCATGCATCAGCAGAGATATTATTTTAACAAAGGTTAAGATGTGAGAGGCATTTGTTATATTAGTGTTGCTGGACTGTCATAGAAATGAAACCCAAAGAGTTTTTATTTTTATTTTTTTTAAACAGTGAGCCTGGGTTGTATTATTGTTGTTGTTTTATTTGGATTGAAAAGTGGTAATTGTTGTTAAGCTTCATCTGCAGTTTTCTTTATTATTATTAATATTTTTATTATTAGCTATTTTAAACAGTGTTCAAATGTTCACATAACTGCTCTTGATTGAAAGAAAAAGAAAGGACCTCCCAGAAGAGAGTTTAAGAAAGTTTTAAGCTGCATGATTCATGCCAATTACCTTTTTGACTCTCACAGTTTTTGTAATTTGTAGGCCAAAATACGCCCAGCTTTACTGTTTTGGGGGGAATTTGGGCATTTAAATATAAAACCTGGAAGATACCCAATTTAGGGTCTCACCTTGACCAGGCCTTTGAGAATTTCTCCATTTTAGAGGGGTCTTCTAACCTCATTCACTTGGAACATGCTCTCTGACAAGAAATGGGGGTTGACTCCCTCCTCCCTCAGCAACTGGTTAGAAATGCAGAAACTTGAGCTCCATCCCACCTACTCTATGGAAATCTGTATTTTAACAAGATCTTCTGGGGGGTTGTCTGCCCAGTGTAGTATGAGGAGCACTGTTCCAGACAATTTCCAATTTCTGGAATACACTAAATATGGATTAGTAATAAGTAGCAGGCCAAATCAAGCCCTTTATTATCAAGAAACTGAAGAATTTTTATTTCATAGCTTTGCTTTCCAGTAGAAAAAAACTAGGTACACTCCTTTAGACATTGCCAAACAAGGTTTTTGGTTCAACTAAGTTAGGAATGAAATCATGAATGGAAAAAAAAGTGTATCTTTTGTGACACAAAGATTTTCCTGTACTATTTTGTAAACTCAGCATATTCGTACATATTTATTTATTAATGATAAACTAGAACACAGGCAAAACCCTTGTTTATGATATCACATGTAGAAAATAAACAAATAACAATGTGTTCTTATGTTGTGTGTCTGTCCACCTCCCTTCTCCCAATCCCCTCCACCCTGTTCATACCATTAAAACAAGGTTATTGAATAGTGCAAATACCATGAATTTCATTTGAGGCTGCTCCATACCCATTACTAGCCTCCATCTGCTCATGGCATCGTTTCTGACTTCCAAAGATTTTTTTTCAGAGGTGGTTGTTTTCACTGAAAAAGATGTCATGTTATATCTATGCACACAAATATTTATTTATTTTCCTTCTGTAACTATAAAAACTTCATACACAGGACTTGTGTCCATGCATTTTAAAATACATTATTTGTTATTAAATGAAATAAGTCAGTCAGAAAAAGACAAATTCTATATGATTTCACTGATACGTGGAATCTAAAGAACAAACTGAACTAACAAGCAAAACAGAAACAGAATCATAGATGGAGAGTAGATGACAGCTAGTAGGGGAAGGGTCAAGTGGTGGAGGGATTGAGCAAAAAGGAAAAATACTCATGGACATGGACAACAATGTGGGAATTGCTAACGGGAGTGGTGTATAAGGGGTCTATATGGTAATGGAAAAAATACAATAAAAAAAAATCCTGCTTTGGGCATCTCTAGATCCCATTTCTAGATCCCATCTCTGTGCCCTTCTGAACATAGTTTGGTGTTATCTGCTCCTTGAGATATGCAAATACAGCAGTCATGAAAGAGTCTCAGTCTGTGGCTCAAATGCAAATAATCACTTTTACATAACACGGTCTCATGTAGTATTAAAACATTCTCATTTCTGTTGATGAGAGACACTGCCTTTTAAATACACAAACCTCTTTGGCCCCTTTTTCTGGCTTGGTGGAACTGGCTGAATTTTATATGCAGTGCATTGGAAGTTTTCATAGAGCACAAGATAACGAAAATTGAATTCATCAAATATTCAAATACTTTTATACATCTGGATAATGCAGAATTCTTCAGTTTTAAACTTAGTAGTTAACTATTGTGAAGGTGCAGTTGGAGATTTCAACATCCATCTTGGATAAAGTTGACTGTTTTGGCATGTGGAGGGTGAGAGATGGGTGCTACTATGAGCAGTGCCTTATCCAGACAAGTGGTTGAGCAATGTTGCATTTAGGAGTTTGGTAGATTAGCAAAACATCAAATTCAATAGAAGGTAATATGAAGGAAGAAGTCGCTGAGTGGGGCAAAGCAGGTACAGATAAATTGTTCTGGGTGTTCAGAAAAGAGAGGGGTACCTTACAAATTTGTCCTGACTACCAGACCTTCCATTTTTCAAAAGCGCCTGTTTCCAACTTGCTGTCAAATTAACAATTCCTTTAAATTTTCTTCCTCCAGAGAAGGGGCATTTTCTTAAGAAGAGAAGACCAAAACACACATTTAGGACTCAGAAGCAAGAACTTTTACTGGGGTATCTCGGACTCCAAAACACCGGTGGAGTAGAGGCCCAGACCCTTCCTATCCTCCTCGCTCCCTGTTTCCTGAGAGATTAGCATGCCTATTTACAGGTTTTATTTAAACATGAGGTTCTCAAAAACAATTAAGAACCCCCAGTCCCTCTCTGAGAAAGACACTGAGTCCATATAAACAAGATGTTAGCTAAAAAACTAGCCCTCAGCATTTAAAAGAGGGTAGATCTTATGGAACAGTAGCCACAAGTCAATCTGTACAATCTGTTTCCTGTTCACATTGTTGGACATCCAGGACTGAAGGGGATTCCCAAACCTAAGCAAGCTCTACATGTTTGTTAATGATGTTCCACAGTGGACAGGGCCTGGGGGAGAAGGTCAAAGTGGTATTTCTGCATGAGTCATAATTTTATTTTATGAGTCAAATGGCTTTTTAGTATTCCCTTTGGACCTAATCCCTTTTCTTGGATAAAAGGTAACATTGTCACTTAGCTTTGGAAAGCACTATTATGTTCCAAAAGATGAATTTTAAATCTCTTTCAGGAGTACAGATCCCGCTTTCCCTTGCTGTATTAACAGTAGCAACAAGATTTGAGTCCTCCTCAGGCAGCACCCGCTTTATCCATGTGTAGTAGATGCAAGACTCCATTCCCTTGAGTTTTAAGGAAGAATGTGTTGTCAGCAGGACAGCACAGGTCCTGTCCATTGCTTGGCTCACAGGTCCTTAGCAAGACTGTGTCTTTCTGCTGGAATGGATGTAAGGGCTAATCAGGCAAGTAAGTAGATAGACCAGCAATAAGCAAATTTGTGGAAAGTTTTTAGTGTTTGCCCTAAATGTTGTACATATTGTTTGATTTTTGATTCAAGTTCTAAATCTAAAAGGGGTGTTCTTAAAACAGAAACTTGGAAGGGTCTCCCATAAACTATTTAAAAAAGGTTTAATTTAAGCTTGCTTTGGGACACTATGATAATCCACAGCAAGACAATAAGGAGTGCTTGGTCTCATTTCAAATGTGTTTTCTGGCATATTTTTGCCACAGTTTTCTTTACTGTGTGGTTCATTTTGTCATTCTTCCCCATAGATTGGAGTGTCCAAGATGCATGTCATTTCCATTGAATCTATAGTACCTGTCCTGTCTTCTGGGAGGTTTCTGAAGTGAACTCTGCTCAATATCACTTTAAAAGCTGTAAGAAAGTACAAATTTAGAATTATTTATTTATTTATTTATTTTACTGGCTTCAGGTCTAATTTTTATTCTGGAATATAAAGCTCTTTTGAGTTAAAGTAGAGTTGACATACAATGTTATATTAGTTTCAGGTATATAAGGTTTCACATTTATTTTCCTTACAAAGTGATTGCCATGAAAAGTCCACTATCCATCTGTTACAGTACAAAGTTATTGTGATATTATTGATACTCCCTCAGCTGTTCTTTACATTCCTGTGACTTATTTATATTACAACTATAAGTTTGCACTCCTTAACCCCCTTTACCTTTTTTCCCATACCCCCCACTGCCCAATCCTCTGGCAATTCTCAGTTTTTCTGTATTTATAGGTTGTTTGTTTTGTTTGTTCATTTCTTTATGTTTTAGATTCCATATGTAAGTGAAATGATACAGTATTTGTCTTTCTCTGACTTATTTCACTTATACCTCGTAAGTATATCTATTTTGCTGTAAATGGCAAGATTTCATTCTTTTTATGGCTGAGTAATATTTCAGTGAGTGTGTGTGTGTGTGTGTGCATGCACACACAATATATATCCACTTCTTCTATATTCATTCATCTATCGATGAACACCTTGGTTGGTTCAGTAACTTGGCTATTGTAAATAATACTGCAGTGAACATAGAAGGGAATATATCTTTTTGAGTTAATGTTTCATTTTCTTCAGATAAGCCCCCAGAAGTGGAAATGGTGGATCTTTCTTTCTCTCTTATTATATAGCCTTTGTTTTAAAGTCTATTTTGTCTGATATGTCTTCCTATCCCAACTTCTCTTTTTAATTTTCATTTTTATGAAACATATTTTCTATCCCTTTATTTTTAATCTCCATGTATCTTTCAATCTGGAGTCTCATGTAAGCAGTATATGTATGGGGTCTTGTTTTTTTATTCATTCACTCTATGTTTTTTCAATGGAGCACTTAGCCAATTTCTATTTAAAATAATTATTGATAGGTATGTGCTTATTGCCATTTTAATAATTTTCATACTAGATTTATAAGTGTTTGGTCTACTAACTTTACAATACGGTTTCCTTTACCAGTAATTTTTTTTTTCTTAATTCTAGATTTGGTCTTTCTTTTCCACATAAGAATTCCCTTTAAAATTTCTTGTAATGCTTGTTTAGTGCTGAGGAATTACTTTAAGTTCTGCTTGTCTTGGAAAATCTTTATCTCTCCTTCAATTCTGAATGATAACCTTGCTGGGTATTCTTGTAATTTTTTCCCCTTTCATCAGGTTGAATACATCATGCCACTTCCTTCTGGTCTGCAAAGTTTCTGTTGTAAAGTCAGCTCATAGTCCTATTGTTTTTCTATTTTTATTGCATTTTTTTTCATTACCATTTAAGCCCCATATATTCTCCTACCCCTGAGCAATCACCACACTGTTGTCAATGTCCATGAGTTATTTTTGATCTTAGATTGATCTCTCCACACCGTAACCTCTCCTCTACCTGAAAGCTGTCATCCTGCTTTTTATCTGAGTCTGTTTCTGTTATTGCTCGCTAGTTCAGTTTGTTCATTAAATTCCACATATAAGAGAGAGCATATGGTTTTTATCTTTCTCTTAGCATATTTCACTTAGCATAATGTTCTCCAGGTCCATACATGCTGTCACAAAGGGTAAAATTTTCCTTTATGCCTGAGTAGTATTCCATAGGGTAAATGTCCGATAGTTGGTTTACCCACTCATCTACTGGTGGACACTTGAGCTGCTTCTGTACCTTGGTAATTATAAATAACACTACAGCGAACAGAAGGGTGCTTATGTTCTTTTGAATTAGTGTTTGGGTTTCTTCAGATATATTCCCAGAACAGACTATGGCATCAAAAGGCAGTTTCATTTTTAATTTTTTGAGGTATCTCCATACTGCTTCTCACAATGGTTGCACCATTTTGCATTGCCACCAACAGTGCAAAAGGGTTTTCTTTTACCCACATTCTTGACAGCACTTGTTGTTTGTTGATTTATTGATGACAGTCATTGTGACAGGTGTGAGATGATATCTCATTGTGGTTTTAATTTGCATTTCTCTGATGATTAGTGATATTGAGCATCTTTTTATGTCTATTGGCCATCTGTATGTCCTCTTAGAGAAGAGTTTAATCAGGTCCTGTGGCCATTTTTAATAGGATTGTTTATTTTTCTTTTTTTGTGTGTGTTACATTTTCTATGTTCTTTAAAATTTTGGATATTAACTCCTTATCAAATGTATCAGCAAATATATTCTCCCATTCCATGGGTTGCCTTTTTATTTTGTTGATGGCCTCCTTTACTGTGTAAAAACTTTTTGTTTGTTGTACTGTCATTTGTTTATTTTTTCCTTTGTTTCCCTTGCCTGGGGAGATATATCAGATAAAATGTTGCTACAAGCAATATCCAAGATTTTGCTGCCTGTATCTTCTAGGACTTTTATTGTTTCAGGTCCAATGTTTAAGTCTTTGATCTATTTTGAGTTTATTCTTGTATGTGGTGTAAGATGGTGGTCTAGTTGCACTTCTTTGCATATATCTGTCCAATTTTCCCAACACTATTTATTGAATAAACCATCTTTAGTCCACTGTATGTGCTTGCTTTCTCTATCAAATATTGACTATAATGTTGTAGGCTTATTTCTGGGCTCTCTATTCTGTCCCATTGATCTATGTACAGTTTTTATGCTAATACCATGATGTTTTGATTACTATGGCCTTATAGTACAGTTTGATATTAAGTAGCATGATTACTCCAACTTTGTTCTTCTTTTTCAGAATCACTCTTGCTGTGTGTGACCTTTTGTGATTCCATACAAATTTTGAAATATCTGGTCTAGTCCTGTGAAATATGACATTGGATCTTTTTCTTTTTAATTTATTTTTTTGTTCAAACACATTTATCTCTGCCTTCCCACCACCACTTTCCCCTGCCCCCCTCCCCCATCTCCCACCCTCAATCCTTCCCCACTTTGGCTTTGTCCACGAGTCCTTGATATATGTTCTTCAACTTGACCCTTCCTTTCCCTTTCCCTGTCCACCCCTCCCTCATTCCCTCTTGACTCTGTTGGTTACTTTTTTCTTTCAAAGTTGCTGGTAATATTCTCCTTGCATCTTTATTTTGCTGGTTAGGTTCCACTTATAGGTGAGATCATATGGTATTTGTCTTTTGCCTCCTGGCTTATTTCGCTTAGCATAATGCCCTCTAGTTCCATCCATGCTGTCGTGAAGTGTAGGAGGTCTTTTTTTCTTTCTGCTGAATAGTGTTCCATTGTGTAAATGTACCATAGTTTCTTGATCCAATAATCTACTGATGGGCATTTAAGTTGCTTCCAGCACTCGGCTATTGTAAATTGTGCTGCTATGAATATTGGAGTGTACAGGTTCTTTTAAATTGGTGTTTTGGGGTTCTTAGGGTATAGTCCCAGCAGGAGAATCACTACATCAAACAGCAGTTCCATTTTTAGCTTTTTCAGGAAATTCCACACTGTTTTCCACAATGGCTGCACCAGTCCGCCTTCCCACCAACAGTGCACTAGGGTTCCCTTTTCTCCACAACCTCGCCAGCACCTGTTGTTTGTCAATCTGTTTATGATGGTCATTCTGATCAGTGTGATGTGGTATCTCATTGTGGTTTTGATCTGCATTTCTCTGATGGCTAGTGATGCCGAGCATCCTTTCAAATGTCTTTGGGCCCTCTGTATCTCTTCCTTGGAAAAGTGTTTGCCCAGGTCCTTGGCCCATTTTTTAATTGGATTTTTTGTGTTCTTGGAGTAGAGTCATGTGAGTTCTTTATATATTTTGGAGATCAAATCTCTTTGATGTATCATTAGCAAATGTATTTTCCCATATGTTTGGCTCCCTTTTCATTTTGCAGCTCTGTGTCCCCTTTGGACAGGGATCCACTATTCCTGCCGGCTGGGCTACACTCAGCACTTCAGCCTGTGAGTGCAAGCCCTGGGCAGAGTTAAGACTGGCTATTGAGTGCTTTCCCACTGCTGCCTCCTTGGGGCATGACCTACCGTGCAAATGGAGATGTAGGAATGGGGAAAGAGTCAGCTTCGTGAATCCCCTGCTACTCCTCCAGTTCTTTCCTTGAGGCCTCTGTCTCCAGTCTCTCCTCAAGTGTTTTTAGGCAGCTCTTTGTTCCCTTTGGCCAGGGATTCTCCTTTTGCCAGCCGTGCTGTGCTCAGCACCCCAACTGATGCTTGCTCAAGCTCTAGGCAGGTGCGCAGAAGACAAGTTTATTGATTCCCTTATGCCTGAGTGAGTTGGTAGCTACAGAGTGGGAGGTGTGTTATCACTGGGTCTCTGCTGGCCACCGTCTCAGTTATCATCGCAAAGTTTTCCTCACCAATCTTTCCTCAGGCACCAGCCTCTACCCAGAGATCAAGGAAGGCAGCTGCCACTGCAAATTTTTGCGTTGGCCCTTTAAACATCACTGCATCCCCAGCCACCTGTTTCTGGCAGAGAGTGCCCCTAGGCTTTTTGTGGTTGCGTTTTGTCTGTGTGCTTTTCTGGTTTCAGATGCTGTAGTCAGGCGTGCCTGCTTATGATTCAGATCCTGTTCTTCTCAGGGAGATCCAACTGGCCTTTTCAATGTCTCTGCTGCTGATGCATGTGGGCGCCCAGCCCACCCTCTTGAGCCTCCACTGTACTGCTCACCCATTATGATGTGTGAAAGTCAATTCCACTGTCTGCAGCTCCAAGGCTCCTCTCACTCTATCGTTCCATTGTTTTCCAGGTGATTTCTCCACAATTTAGTCACAATTCCAGTTTGGTCTTGGGAGGAGGTCAGCGTGACTTCCACTCACTCCTCCACCACCTTCCTCTCCTCTGACATTGGATCCTGATAGGAATTGCATTGAACCTA